TGGTCTACTGCGAAATCGTAACAGGGCACTTTAAGCTTTGAAGGATGTGTGAAAAGTAAAAACAAGATGGTTGTAGTCCACACTTAACGGAAGACAATACTGACTAGGGCTCTAAAATGAAATTGGAAAATTTGAAAATTTTGACTTATCAAGTTATCGTGAGATAAGAGGCACACGATTATTAAGAAAAGTGAGTTTATATAGTTGATATTGAATTGATAAAGTAGGAATAAAGTAAAAATGATTTATAACCACTCAAAATTTCCCTAAATTAATATGGGACAGCCTTAGTAGGTTATCTCGAAAAGGAAAAAGTGGGACAATCTTGACGGGATGGAGGGAGTAACTTTTAATTTCGTGCGCTTAATTTTGTAATAATAAGAAAAAGTAAGGTTACGGGGTAAAAAAAAAAAAAAAAGTAAGGTTCAAGCTACTTTTTAAATGTTTTGGCTGAATTTACTATAAATGACCATTTTAGCTATTTTTCATGGAGTAGATAAACAAAAAATATTGCTATCAAATGCTTTGATTTGCATTACAAACTTTTGAGAATTTATATTTCAGATAATAGCCACAATATAAATTAAATATTATCAAAAACCAATTGCAACGGAATTGACTATGTTGCAGATTGGTGTTGCCATACAAAGTCGTTGCAAGAGAATGTTTGCAATGATCGATTCTTCCCTTGCAAATCGATTGCTAATCAATAGCTACGCAACAAAATAAAATAACATTTCAATTCCTCTTGCAATTATTGCAAGAGTGTTATTCTCCCATTGCAAAATCTATTGCAAAAAAAATCTCTCTTTTCCCGGCCACATTTGCATTAGTATATTTTTTCATAGCAATATCCATTGCAATATTGCAACTACTTCATATTACGTTGCAAATGTCATTGCATTATTGCAACAGAAATGAGTCTGTTGCACGGTTCCGTTGCAAAACGTGTTTTTTCTAGTAGTGATATTAAAGTATTACTAGTATATATAAGTGTATAACTCATCTTATTGTAATATACTTATATTATATATACTATAAACATAATATTATATATTACTAGTTAATCTACTTATTATCTACTTATAAATATATATATATATATATATATATTAAGTATATCTACTTATACACTTATTACCTACTTATCCAATTGCTTATACACTCTCACACTCCCATTAATTTAGTTTACACACTCATACATCTTTATTAATATAAAACTAGTTAATTGTTTCACTTATCATTTTAGTATTAGTGCATTGCTATAAAAGTAGTTAATTGTTAGTTGTTAGTTTATTGGAAATAGTTACATTAAAAATTGTTAGACAATAATTGTTTGTTTAATTGTTAAACTCGTTAATTCAAAATTAACTGTTTAATTGTTAAACTAGTTAATTGTTACATTTATTAATCTCCTATCATAGTAGTTAATTGTTACATATATTATTCTCCTATAAAACTAGTTAATTGTTACATTTATTATTCTCCTATACAACTAGTTAATTGTTAAACTTGTTAAATAAAGTTGTTACATTTTAAAACAAATAGTTCGAATTTTAGTTAATTGTTAAACTTTATTATTCTCCTATAAAACTAGTTAATTGTTACATTTATTATTCTCCTATAAAACTAGTTAATTGTTAAACTTGTTAAATAAAGTTGTTACATTTTAAAACAAATAGTTCAAATTTTAGTTAATCGTTAGACTTTATTATTCTCCTATAAAACTAGTTAATTGTTACATTTATTATTCTCCTATAAAACTAGGTAAATGTTACATTTATTATTCTCCTATAAAACTAGTTAATTGTTAAAACAAGTTAATTGTTAAATTTGTTCGCATTATTATTTAATTGTAGTTAAGTTTATTACATTGTAGTTGCATAGTTCGAATTTAATTGTATTTCGAATTGGTAGATTTGTATTTCAAATTCACTAGTTTAATTGTACTTCGAATTTAATATTCGTTATATTTTTAAGATGGAACGTGCTAGAGCTTCTGTAGATATGGGTAACCTCCGCCGCAACCGAACAAAGGAGATTGCGAGGAATCATCCAAGGTCACGCAAAGGTAAGGGAGGGGACAAGTCTTCATCTCAAACCCGAGATGATTTTGATGCGGATTACAACCAAAGATATGGGGATGCGATGTCCGATGAGCAACTAGAACAACTATTGCAACAAAATCAAGGAGGTTTTTTTCATCAACAAGACATCCCGCAAACCATTGACGAAAAAGAGCTCGAGGATGATGATGCGGAGGAGAGGGATCCGCAAACGGTCGAGGACGAGGTTCATGACACACCAGACGATGAGGAAGTGCAAGCGGAAGTGGCTACTTCTACCCAAGCCGGTGAGAAATCTGAATCTGTCTTTAAGGCTAATTTTATAAAAGTTAAAAATCTCGAAACTGAGATATGGTACGCCACTTGCAAGCATTGCAACAAAAAGTATAACTTGGGAATTTCTGGAGGGTATGGGAGCGCCACAAGGCATCTTAAGGCCAAGCACCCGGCGGAATATGCGAAATCGGACAAAGGCAAGGGAAAGCAAACACAAAATTCAAGGTTTGCAACTGGCCAACCCTTTGCTAATTTCTCCTATGATGATGAAAGTCATTTGACTGGTATATCTCATTTAATTGTTAAAGAAAGTTTGCTTTTTATTTTTTCTGAAAGTCTTGCTTTAAAATAATATGCTCAAGGTTCTATAAATCCCCAATTTCGAAACTATAGTCGCAAAACAATTAAAAAGAAGTTATAAGGCAATATCTTTTGGAAAAGCAAAAATTACAAACATTTTTCGCAAACTTTGATGGACGTGTTAGTATATGTAGTGATATATGGGAGGATACTCATCATCATTTATATTATTTGGGTTTGACTGCACATTATATTGATGATGATTGGTGTATGCATAAACGTGTTCTTGCTTTTCGTGAATTTAATTATCGACACACCGGTGATAATATTTATATTCTCATTGATCGTATTTTAATTGAGTATAATTTGATTAATAAGGTGTTTGTTATTGGTTTTGATAACGTTACTAATAATATTGTTGTTATTCCTAGATTGCGTGAATTGTGTGGTTCATCGTCTTTGATGAGTAGGTTTTTTCATCAGCATTGTGCTGTCATATTTTAAATTTATGTGTAAAGGACGAGCTAACGACATTGGGAGATGCTATGGAGGTGGTGAAGGAGGGAATTAAACTTATTTGGGATAGTAACCAACTTAAGATGCAATGGAGAAATTATTTGAAAGAAAGACGTGTCAAATATTGTGTTTTCCCTAAAGATTTGTCTATTCGTTGGAATAGTACTTATAACTAAATTAAGGTGCCTATTAGATTTAAAACCCATTTTCCTGCTTTTTTAAAAGAATATGCTAACTATATTATAAACCTGACCGACAACGACACTTGTGAAAAAGTTGTGAATTTTTTGGTGTATTTTAATAATGCAACTCAAACTATTAGTCATGTTTATAAACTTAACGCAAACCAATTTTTTGTTGAAACTGTTAATCTTGCCGTCACTTTTTGTGAATTTGCTGATGCCACTTACGTTTATTATTTTTGTGACTTCATGAAATAAAAGTTTTTAAAATAGGGAGAACTATCAAATAAGCCCTCGAAGTTTCATAAAATGTGCAAATAAGCCCTTTTATAGAAGACTCTGTCCGGCCGTCGCCATTTGGAGCGGTTTCCGGTGGAATTTTTTGATGAAATGTTTTGAGCATCTTCTTCATTAAGTCTAGTTTACTCATACCAAATTTCAGATAACAATTCAATCGGGAAGGCAGTCAAATGAATTTTTGAAGATAACTGCGCAGTTAGGCAGCACAGTATATTCAGAAAATCATTTGACTGTCTTCTCGATTGAATTTTTAGCTGAAATTTGGTATGGGTAAACTAGACTGAATGAGGAGGATGCTTAAAAAATTTCATCAAAATCTTCCACCGAAGACCGCCCCAAATGGCGACAGCCGGACAAAGCCTCCTGTAAAAGGTCTTATTTGAACTTTTTATGAAAGTTCGGGGGCTTATATGATAGTTCTCCCTTTAAAATATTATTCCTATATTCCGCATATATATGGTATTGCATTTATTCTTGATCCTCATTTTAGACTTGCTTCTTTGGAGCAATGTTTAGATTACTATTATGCTTCTTTTTTTGGCCCATTGCCTATGTACGACGACAAGGTCATAGACCCGAAACAACAATTCCAAGAGGTTAGTAATTTATTATATCAATTATTTAATGAGTTTCATGCACAATATGGTAACGCACCCATCCCCCGTCACGAACATCTTCTTCAACTAAAGGAAAATCAATTTTGAAATCTACATTTGGCAAAACCACTAAAAAAAGTTAATAAACAAAGCTCGATCAACGAGCTTTCTTTGTATCTAACATTTCATGTTGAGTATGAAGAAGAGGATGACTTTGACGTTCTTCAGTGGTGGAAGGAAAAAGAGAGAACGTTCCCGATCTTATCAAAGATGGCTAAGCAAGTGCTAGCAATGCCGGTATCAACAGTTGTTGTGGAACACGAATTTAGTGCGACCGACAACGTCCTAACGGATTATATAAAGAGATTGAGCGCAAACTCTCTTGAGACGCTTGTTTGCTTCCACAATTGGTTGAAGGCCAAATGTAGAACTCAAGAAATTAGCATTGAACCCACCCGCCACTTTATGGAAGAAAAAAACGAAGATGGCGGAAATTTTGATTGATTCTTATTTATTAAAAACTGTAATTCATGTTTTAATTTTTGCTCAATTTTCAATTGTACTACATATTTCAAAGAAATATATTTTAAATTTTTTATGTCCAAGTAATCTTAATTTAATATTTAAACAAAAATAAATAAATAGCCCGGGCCCGGCCCGAACCGGCCCACTACCCGGCCGGGTAGGCCTGACCCGGACCGGACCCGGTATCACCCCGGACCTGGCCCGGGTCCATCCCTAGTATGTAGATATAGTGTGAATAGGGTCAATAGATATAGTGTGAATAAATGAGCGCTGAAAGTAAACTTTGAGGGCTAAACCCAAAATAGGGTCATTTGCTTTTTGGGCTGTTTTCGGTCCCAGATCGGACCAGATCAGACGGACCAGATCAGACATGTCCAGACCTGACTTCCATAGTTACAAAACATATAGAGATCAAACGTTTACCAGACCAGTTCAGACCAGATCAGACCTGCAAAATTCAAATATGTAGATCATTTTCCGACGGCATTGTTTTTATGATACTAAAACAGAACATCTTTGTTCAATGCATTCTTAAAGAAGAAGGTTAACTTCATACTGACAGAAGAGAGCAAGCAATTACTAATAAGCAACGCTGTAGGGATTAGGGAAGTTCCTGGTCAATGAATGTGGAAATTGTTGTGGGGTGAATTTCTGTAGATGACGGGCCCTCTCTCTCGGTCAATCTCGCTGCCATTCAATGCAGTCTCTCCGAACTGCTTCCGGCTGGGTCCCTCCCCACGGTTCTCAGACAACGCCTTCCTCCTCCGCTCGTTGTGCCCAGCCAATCGCCTCCGGCAGCTCCTTTTTGAATCGTCAAATTCTGTAACCTCGTGGAATCTGAACACACACTCAGGTTAAAAGTCTGTTTTTTTCCGATAATCAGAAGGCAAATTCCGGTCTAACCTCAGTGATACCTAACATTTTTCATGTTGACCAACTAGAATATTACTACTTCCCTCAGATATTGATTGTCTTATTTTTATTTTAGTCCGACACAATTATTAACAAATTGGTCAAAAAGTAAAATTTCTGATTGAGAATTGAATAGAATGAAGTTAAAGAGAAAAACTATAAATTTATTCTTCGTACTATCAGGAAAACGTTAATTAGGTCCATACATTTTTTAAAATCAATCAAATCCTTAAACTTTGAAAAAAGTTCAATTGAGTTAATTAAAAGGTTATCTGTCATCTCAACATGTCACCATGTGATATGGCACACACGTGACAGCCCAATCAGCAGTGTTTTGACGATGTGGCGAACACGTTGAAGCCCAGACAATCACTTCCTAATGATGTGGCATGCGCGTAGACCGCCGCGTGTGTGCCACATCGGCGGGTTACCTGCTGATATGGTAGGTAATCTGTTAATTGGCTCAATTGAACATTTTTTCAAAATTCGGGGATTTGATTGATTTTTTAAAGTATTAGAACCTAATTGACGTTTTAGTGATAGTACGGGTACTAAATTGATAGTTTTTTCAAAGTAAAATGATAGAAAACACATATTTCTTACCAAAAAACATGACATTCATTTTGTAACATACAAAAAAGCAAAGTAAGACAACCAATATGAGTCTGAGAGAGTACAATTGAGGAATTAGAATATACTACCTTCGTCCCGTTGAAAGGTTCCCATAGCAAAACGGCACGGTTATTTAGGCAATAATTAAATAAACTATTTCGAGTATATTTTGAGAAATAATTTTAATAGGTATATATTGTAATGTAGTTAGTATTGATAACTATGATGTTATAAATGTATTATTTTTAATATTTAATGATTAATTTGTCACTTCAGATTGTTAATTGTTTTCCAAAATGGAAATAGAAACCTTCTAACGGGACGTCCAAAAAAAAAGTGAGAACCTTCCAATGGGACGGAGGGAGTATAAAATGATGAAACAGTAACTTGAATCAATCAAATACTCTCCATTTCACGTTAAGAATGTTTTTTCTTTCTTTTTCGTTTTGTTCTACTAATAAAGTTTGTTTAGTTCTAAATCATTCTTATTTTAATCTTACTTAATCAATTCAATATTAACCACATAAACTAACTTTTATTAATAGCCATGTTACCTCCTCATGTCAATGTTAGTGGGTAGGAGATTATACATTTTAGAATAGCTTACCTATTTGTAGGGTACAATAGCATTCATCTAATTAGAAATCTCATTTAATTTAGAATATGATTACCATTTAGTTTAATTAAATCAAATTTAAGATTTAATTATTTTAGGTTTAAATCATGGGAAAATAGTAGTTATATTTGGGAATTATCAAACTTTTTTACTCTTATTTCGGGATTTCCCCTGATTACCATGGAGTACTATATATGTTACTCGTAATATATTAATGAAAAAATGACATGTATATTATTAACAGTTTCCTCGGGCCAAAAGTATGTCTAATTATATTTTTGAACAAAAATATAATTAATCACTGTGTAAGAGTAACTGGACAATATTCATTATATGTATTTCAGATTAACAAGGCATTGGTAGATGATAAGTCACCTGAACTAGTCGTTAAATATTTCACTTTTTTGAAAAATTTTAAAAGAAATCATATATCTGTTATTTTTTATCGTAATCATGTATTTGTCTTTTGAAACTAAATTAGTACTCCCTCCGTCCCAAAATGAACTTCACAGTCACTATTCACATTGTCAACTTAAATTACTCTTAGTCTTATGTTTTATATATCAAATTTTTATCAAATTTATAGTTTTTTTATCCGCCTTTGTAGCGGTTTTAATTTAGTTTCTCAATATGTAAATGTTATTTACTAAAAGTAATCTGAGTAAGAACATGGATGGATCGAGTTGCTTTATCGTCGGTCAAGCATCTTAATCCGAAATGAGAAGTTAATTTTGGGACGGAGGTAGTAATATTCATGCAAAAAAAACCTATTTTGATCCCGGAGTAATTTCATACTCCGTATTTAATTAGGAACCTATAACAAATATCGGAGTAAAAACATTATACTGTATGCATTAAATTATGAATTTAATTGATTAAATAAATAAAGCCAAGGGAGGACCTGCTGCATTGCTGGCAGAAGCGCTGGGGAACGCCCTTGAGAAAGACAACTGGGGCCTTGGCGTGGACTTCGCACACTTTGTGCCTCTTGTGGTACGTCTTCGCAAAGCTCAGATCCGCGCCACACGTCTCCACCAGACAACCCGACGGCGCCACCCCTCCGCCGCCGGAACTTGACCCGCCGGCCCTCTTCCCCAACTCTCCTACCGTACTCATCAGATCTATTTTCTTTTTCCTCTTCAACAAATGAAAGTCCCCAGTCCTCCCCTCTTCGTTCCTTTCGTCTTCCTCCTCTTCTTCGCCGTCTAACACCTCGTCCCCGTCGTCCCCGTCGTCCCCGTCGAGTTCTTCTTTCCGGGCACTCATGGCGGGTGAAAGCCCTCGCCGGCCCCCGAGAAAATTGGTCTCCATTTTTTGGCGGTCTTGCAAGATTGTGATGGGAAAACCAGTAGAAACAAGAAAGTGCGAAAAGAAGAATGATTGACGAGAGAAATGAATGATTGTACCGACTATGGTGGGGGCAGGGTAATGAATAGAACTGACGGCATACTGTGACAGAACGAGTTTGAAATAAATTGAGGACCACCACAACTTACACCCAACCAAAAAAGGATGACACCCATCTCACGGCCTCCAATCCTCCCATCGAACGGTACTTTGAGAGAATGTAAGTAAGATTATAATCACAATATGACAGATCGAGAGTATAGTTCTATCCTCCGTACTTGCAGAGGACCTATGCATTTTTTTAGCATAATAACCTCTTATCGCAATTGTCGGGATTCGAATCCGGTGTCTAACCCTTGTGACACTCCCTCGTTACAAGTTGAGGTATGCCCACCGGTACAACTTACACCCAACCAATTATATGAAGTGGTGGCCGGGCTCGGTCATGGTGGTGCCACAACATGCTTTTATTTAGTTTTCATTATCCATTGATCCAAAAGGTGGAATCTCCCACCCCAGAAGCCCCTCACCCCGACCCGACAGGATGGTGTGGAGGTTAGTCACGCTGACTCAGTACGCAGAATGGTAGTAGGCCCATACACCTGTGCGCATCAGAGGCCCAGCCTTATTTCAGGTTATGTGACCTCCACCCAGTCGCTGCGGGGATTCGAACCTTGATCCATTGATCCAAATCTCCCACCACTCGACCAACTGAGCTACCCGTGCGGGTAAGTTTTCATTATCCAAAAAGGTGAAATCTCCCACTCCCGAAGCCCCTCACACCCCGACAGAGCACGTGGGAGGATATAAATAACAGTGACTCAGTCAGCAAAGTGATAGTTAGACTTGTACAAACACGGGCTCGGGCCGGGCTTTATCTAAAATTTCTGCCCATTTATGTGGGCAGGCCCGACCTGGATCAAACGGTCCACATCCCATGTCCAAGCCCGCCCATAGTAGCAGGCCGGATAGTCCATCGGGCTGCCCGGCCCGGACAAGTTTACCATTGTTTAAATTTGATGAAAAAATTGATATCATTTTTAAAATAACATCACACCATTTTAAAAGTAATTAATGAACAAACTAATATAAGTATGCCTTCATGATATACACAAATTATTTTGAACAATTGATCTGTTCTAGTAATATAGTATGTTTTTTGTTTGGCCGCTCAACTGCTACTCTTCCGATAAAATTGGAGTAAGGTTAATTAGATCTTCTTTGGGATCATTAATATAATGGTTAATAGCAAGTAGGGTTAACTAATGGGAAATAAGAAGTAAGTAATACGAAGTACTCCGTAACTAATGTGGTTCATTGTGTACGTACGAGTATAAATATAAATATATATACGGAGTATAATATGTATAATATAAATTAATACTAGTAATATGTACTACAAATATTATTAATTTTTCGGGCCGAGCTTTTTGGCCCGAACGGGCCTACAGTATAACCCGGTGGGCAATTATACATGTCCAGACCCGCCATTTATATGGACAGGTCGGGCGGGCCGGACAAGTTGACCCGTATTTGTACAGGTCTAGTGATAGTATGTCCATATACCTGTGCGCGCCAGAGGTCTAGCCCATTTCAGAGACTGAAACCTCCACATGGTCGCTGCGGGATTCGAACCTTGATCCCTTGATCCAAATTTCCCACCACTCAACCAACTAATCTACGCGTGCGGGTTTTGGTTAGTTTTCATTCCTCCAAAGGTTGAATCACCAATGTCATTCATATAATTCACGGATAGCTCAGTTGGTTGAGTGATATGAAATTTGGAGGAATGATTGAGGTTCAAAATTCGTAACGATCGTGCAAATGTTAGTTGTCCTGGATTGGACCTCTGACGTGCACGAGTTTAAGTCCTATGATCATTTTATTGACTAACTTATCGTGATTTACATTCTCTCATATGTCTTGTCGGTCTGAATGTGAGATAACATTGGGATTGAGGATTCAATCTTTTGAAGGACTTAATGACATTCACCTCCATACGGTCGTTGCATGTTTTATTTAGTTTTCAAATACTATTACTCCGTATTATGTAGTACTTTGTCTATCTTAATACGGAGTATGTTTTCAATTAGACTCAAATTTTCTTATTTGTTTAATTTGATTCAGTCTGTTTAAATCTGATTTAATTTGAATTGAAGTGATCACGTAAGGTAAATTTTGATTTGTTTAGTATATTTTATAATTGTTGAGATAAAGTTTGATCTTATTTGATTAAGAACTAGAAGTCGTTCTGCACATCTAATTTTTTTTCTAGTTTGGTCTAATGTTATCTGAATTTTTTAGTTTAATCTAATCTGAATCTTTTGAGAAAACATCAAATAATCTCCCTACCACTTCAAAAAAGTCAATTAAACTTCTGAACTAAAAGAACACTTAATCACACCCACGAACTCATTTAAAAATTAAAATTTTCAAATCCTCCTTTTAGCCAGTCAAGACTTCAAGTCCCTATTACCGGGAAACCTTTATGTCTGAAGGTTGATGTGGCACATTTTAATATGAGTGGACAATGACGTGGACATTTTAATATGAGTAGACAAGTCTCGTTGGAAGGTTCCCATAGCAAAACGGCACGGTTATTTAGGCAATAATTAAATAAAGTACTTCGAGTATATTTTGAGAAATAATTTTAATATGTATATATTATAATGTAGTTAGTATTGATAATTGTGATGTTATAAATGTATAATTTTTAGTATTTAATGATTAATTTGTCACTTAAGATTGTTAATTGTTTCCTAAAATGGAAATGGGAACCTTCTAACGGGACGTCCAAAAAAGGAAAGTGGGAACCTTCTAATGGGACGGAGGGAGTAAGTAAGAGAGAGAGAGAGTATATATTCAATATGAATTTTTGCGTGTTTTACAATGGAGGAATGGGTTGCTATTTATAGCAACAATAAATGCGATGAGAGTACACGTGTCAATAATCTAACGGTCGAGGGGTCACCTCAACCGGGTGGCACCAGCACCTGCATGTGGCCGCATTACATGCGATGGTTGGATGTGACGGTGTACTCGGTACGGTGATTCAGGCGCATGTAGAGAGGATATCTTGTCGAGGGGGATGCCTTCGGCTATAGATGACAAGCCGAAGGCTCTTCGTACCGGGGGCCTCATAGTGCCGAGGGCTCCAAGTGTCGAAGGCTCGATTTTCTGAGCTTGAATCTGTAAACGGTAGCCTTCGGCCATGGGGCCGAAGGCACCCCCTTGCATATTGTGGGCTGCTTAGAGCTTCATTTTGATGGGCTTGGCTCATTTGGGCCTGTGGGGCCTTGTTGTAGTAGTGGAAGTATTTGGGTCGGGGGTCTCTGGGCCCATATACTGCATCAGGAGTCCCTCACTCCTTTTGCTGAAAGGTACTTGAGGGAAAAGGAGTAAATGCGTTGTCCTCTGATGGTGGCGTTTGCTTCGTTGCAGTTTGTAGAGTTGTGAGGAGTTTTCGGTTGTATGATGTACCGAGGACAGTCCCTCAGTCCCCCATATTTTGGGATTTTGAAGGATCATGTTGATGTTTTTGGGGAGGTTTAACATTTTGTGATTTTCTCGAAGGGGTCCTTAGTCCCCCACTCCTTGAGGCACGTGTAATGTGTTGAAGAGGAGTAGAGCAGTGCCCGTCTTCAGTATGGGGCCGAGGGCTGTCTATTTTCGTTTCATTTTAGGGGGATGCCTCGTTAAAAACCTCATTAGGAAAACCCCTGTGGGAAAAAATCCCAATGAGGGAAAAAGAGTGCACCGAGTTCCCCCAATGATGAATCGAAAAAGATGGACCCTTGGTCTGAGTATAATGCATGATGTCGAAGGCTCCCCTTGATCTGAGGGCTTGTTTGTCGATTTGCCGAAGGTACCTTGTTGATGTTCCGGGGATGCCAAGGGGGAGTTCCCTAGTTGTCAACTTATGAGGGCTGAAGTTCCCGAGGGGTTCTGGGGCTCCTATTGATGAAGGATTTTGAATATGATAGCCCGGGGGCATGCTCAAGTGTTATGCGAAGGGTGTTAACCGGGGGGGTCACCTCCGGGTTTTCAGAAAATAGCCGTTGGAATATGCCCGTTGGAGAGGGCTTCCACGTGGCGCGTGCTCGTTGGCTCTCTGCGGGCGGGTGTCACCGGTTGGCGGAGGAGGCGGTGTGTAATGATGATTTTTCCATCGGGGGGCCAGTTTTCGGCCCAAGCCCGAAGTGGGGAGGCTATAAATACCCCATGGCCGGACTCCATTTGGTTTATGCATTGTTGTTGTAGCGAAGCTTTGGTGAAATTTTTCTAGAGAGAGAAACTCCCTTTCGACCGAACCCTAGCTTTCGAGGTCAGTTCTGACTCCATTCTTTGCTTCCTTAGCATATTTTGCTTTTCTGGCCTTAGATTAAGTGTTATAGCCTTTGGAAGCCCTCTGCTTAAGAACCCTTCCACCTCCAGTTTTTCAAAATGTCATCGCAAAGTGACTCCCAAGATATCTCAAGGGAGCCTTCGGCTGAGGCAGAAAGCATCTCCAATGTGGAGTCTTCGAGCGACGAGGCCTCGGCTAGCAACGATCTGGCAGCAGCTGAGGAGATACAGAACAACCTTCGGGTCGAATTGGAGGCCGAAGACTTCGAGCAAGTGAATGAAGACGAGGAGCTGGCCCTCGCTGTTCAAGTTGTTAAGGAGGATGAGCAAAAGGAAAGAATGAAGGTCACTATTGCCGTCCCACCCCCTCGAAACACTGGTGAAGCTAGCAGCTCCCGGCCACTCAACCCAGAACCTCTCAGGGTGGCCCCGGGGAAGAAGGCCAAGAAGAAGACGGGGGGCCCCAAGAAGAAGGGGGGCGCTGTGGATCAAGGGAAACCCGTCGGTATTCCTAAGGGGTACTCGTTTCTGAACACCGAAGCTATTGAGTTGAAGTCGAGGGCTTACAAAGCGGAGTGCTACGTAACGCAGCTGCACGTGGGGCCCTCGGGGACCGTGGTGGAGCCGGGGCCCGATGACGTTCTCTCCCGGGCTCCCGAGGGGTGTTTTGTGGTGCATATCCTCTCGGTGTCAATGGGCCTTCGATTCCCTCTGCATCCGTTCCTCCTCGAATACCTTCGGTATGTAGGCTTAGCCCCTTGCCAGTTGACCCCCAATAGTCATTCGTACA